ACTGAAATAGAGGTCGCCTTATATGTTAAGCCCGTACTTTAGACATGTGTGTCAGTAAGTATGAACGGGACCTGGGACTGCATATGCAACTTGCAGGCAGTATGGTCAATGTTTAAGCAAACAGGTGTAGTGGTGAGGGGGGTAGGGCGCATTGCCACCCGTGCCAGTCATAGACAGGGTGGATGACTGGAGTTTCGGTGATATGTGATTTCCACTGCAGTGCCCCTGGCGGATGACATGGATCCAGCAAGTGTAAGTGGCTAAAACCTAAATTAACAGTACCACTACAACTGTCATACGGGTGGGCTAGCTGGGTGTACCGGTTTAGGTGGAACGCGAAGTGTGGCATTGTGGATATGACGGACAGTGGTCACACATGTAAGTCAGTGTGAGTGGTGTATGGTGCCACTCATGCATCAGCTGTCGTGGACAGACGGTAGTCAAATTGGGGAGTCAGTCCGATAAAGTGTGGTATAGTACTGCGTATGCCTCTAGTCAACAGCAGTCAAACGATCAGGCAAAACATGTTGTGGTATTGCTAGTACATCCTGCAAACATTATGGACAGGTACAAATGCAATGTGATCGTTAATAACTATTTGCGTACTGCAAAATATGGTAGTAATAGGTCCGCAAGTGCCTACTGAACTAATGCGGTTTGGCCTTAAAGACAGTGGTGGTTGGGAGTCAATAACTAAGCATTAGAGCATTAGAGATATTGTGCCACTGGAGCGGGAATACTTGTGGTAGATCATCAGTTGGCAATGTGCCAGTCCTTGTCCACTCTCCTCGGTGGTTTCGGGGATTGTGCTTCGCCCACAACGGTCAAATTCCACTGGTGTAGGAGGTTCAGACCGTCTTCCACCGTATGTATGACTGTAGTGGTTCCATTCCTGGAGACAATCAGACGGATAGGGAAGCCCCAGCGGTATAGGATGCGGTTGGCACGGAAAGTCTCTGTCACTTGCCTGGAAGGTTTTCTATTGTCTCAAAGTGGCTGCTGAGAGATCTGAGAACATCCTGATACCGGAGTACTCAGTGGGAAGGTCCTTCACGGTTCTGCTTCTTTTCATCAGTAGATCCTTTACATGGAAATAGTGTACCTTCAGCAACACATCCCTGGGTAAAGATGCCGCAATATGTTGGGGTTTCGGGACTCTATGCAGGCGGTCTAGCAGCAGCATGTCCGTGGGGATCTCGGGAATCAGGAGTTTGAAAAAGCTGTGTACATGGCTGGGGAGGTCCGCCGGGAGAACCGTCTCCGGTATACCCCTTAGCCTCCTGGATCTATCTTCGAGGTCCATGAGCTTTGCCTCACATTTTTGTAGTTGATCGGTGAGGGATTTGAGTTGCTCTGTGGACGTATTGTGCGCATCGATCAGGTCTTCCATCTTGGCCTCCACGTGTGTTGTGCGGGAGCCGACGTCTTGCAGGTCGCGTTTCTGTTCTGCAACACTGGATTGCCAGATAGATATCAGTCGCTGGGATTGTTCGTCCAGGGCTTGTTTTAAAAAGGCTGTGGTGAGTCTATCTCCTACCTCGGGCTGCTTCCCCCTGAGAGTTCGGCGCCATCATGAGGGTCCACGGTTTCTGTTTGTCTTGCCAGGGACGTAACTTTTTTTCTGGGCGAAAAAGTTCAATTTGTCGGGTTTGTCTTGGTGCCGACGGGTTTTAGGTTGCGACATCCCGAAAATAGATTCTTGGTTCCCACAGGAATCTCAGAATTAATTGGTTTTGCCTAGCTCGTGGTGCAGAGCTAAGGACTCATGTGGCCATCTTTCTCCGCGTCTAGCCACGCCCCCCCATGGCAACTGACATTTAATGTGGATAAGTGCAAGATAATGCATCTTGGCAGTGGTGTATCCTGGTTTTGTGCTGCCCTAGGCAGGACAAAACTCAGGCGCCCGCCTCCCCCCGCGCCACCCCCACCCAATCCTTCCCCCCTGCCCTACCTTCTAAATATACACACACACACAGTCAGACACAGACACACACACACAGTCACACACACACACACAGTCACACACACACACACACACACTCACATTAACACTTTTTTTTAATTTAACCCCCCCCCAGCCTCCTTACCTTTGGGAATGCTGGGGGGGTCTCTCTCTCCCTGGGGGTCCAGTGGCTGCCGGTCGGGCTGATGGGCTGGCTGCTGGGCAGACGGGCGGGTGGGTGGCTGGCGAGGGAGCACTTCCGCTGAGCACTCTGCTCAGCTCCCTCGCGCGCCGCAGAGTGAGGCAGGGAGCCGGGTTGATGACATCATATTCCGGCTTCCAGCCTCACTCCGCGCGAGGGAGCCGAGCAGACCGCTCAGAGGAAGAGCTCCCTCGCCAGCCGCCCGCCCAGCGCCGCCCGCCAGCCCAGCATGTCTGTTAGCTGCGAGGCTAACTAGGCATTTGCCCTGGGCATTTGGGGGCGGCGTTTTTTGACGCCCCCTGAAAAATGCTGCCCAAGGCAAATGCCTTGTTTACCTCGCGGCTAATACGTCCCTGCATCTTGGACGTAAAAACCCAAGGGCAGAGTACAGAATATTTGATAGAGTTCTAACTTCAACATATGAGGAAAGGGATTTAGGGGTGATTATTTCTGATGACTTAAAGGTAGGCAGACAATGTAATAGAGCAGCAGGAAATGCTAGCAGAATGCTTGGTTGTATAGGGAGAGGTATTAGCAGTAGAAAGAGGGAAGTGCTCATGCCATTGCACAGAACACTGGTGAGACCTCACTTGGAGTATTGTACACAGTACTGGAGACCGTATCTTCAGAATGATACTGATACCTTAGAGAGAGTTCAGAGAAGGGCTACTAAACTGGTTCATGGATTGCAGGATAAAACTTACCAGGAAAGGTTAAAGGATCTTAACATGTATAGCTTGGAGGAAAGACGAGAAAGGGGGGATATGATAGAAACATTTAAATATAAAAAGGGAATCAACACAGTAAAGGAGGAGACTATGTTTAAAAGAAGAAAAACTACCACAACAAGAGGACATAGTCTTAAATTAGTGGGACAAAGGTTTAAAAATAATATCAGGAAGTATTACTTTATTGAGAGGGTAGTGGATGCATGGAATAGCCTTCCAGCTGAAGTGGTAGAGGTTAACACAGTAAAGGAGTTTAAGCATGTGTGGGATAGGCATTAGGCTATCCTAACTATAAGATAAGGCCAGGGACTAATGAAAGTATTTAGAAAATTGGGCAGACTAGATGGGCCGAATGGTTCTTATCTGCCGTAACATTCTATGTTGTTAACCCAGATCAGGGCTATGTGGGGATGTAACATGTTTTTGGGGGTATGTTACGTTTTGGGGTACTTTCTGAACATTGTGAAAATGTGTTTTTTATGCTTGGAGATAATTGAGTTACTTACAGGACTTTACTCAATTATCTCCCAAGCAGAGGGAAGGGATTGTGTGCTGTACCTGGGCGTGTCACAAACTGTATGTTCTGATTGGTTTATGTCCCCATCAGGTCCAGGGTGTGTTCCTCTGGCCTGGAGAATTGTATAAAAACCAACCTGAACCATTAAAGCTCAGATCATCTGTAGCGGAGAGGCAGTATAATCCACAATCTCTCCCCTGGGTAACAGGAACAACATAAAATAATCCAGGGGAATCAATACAGCATGCAATAATCCAGGTAGCATTGTAGTAATCCTTCCTTCCCAAGAACTAGACGACACATAGGCTGGGAGTCAACTGAGGTCTTTATTCACAGCTCCACAATCTATACAATTCTCCATGCAAGGGGTTTCCTGAGTCCTATCCCAGGGGTATTACAGGAGTGGACTACATGGGAAACTTACTGTACAGGGCATTTCTCCCATCAGGGAGACACAATTTTCCCATCATGCACTGCTGGACGAGAGGGATCCTCCCACTGGAATGTACCGTTAAGTGGATTATCCCTCCGTGCAGCAGAACCAAAAATTCACATTAAAATACATAACTTTTAAATACTTGACAGATTTAAACGAATGGACGTTCGGTAGATAGCTGTAGTCTGAGCACACCATTCGTGTGAATACCACTCAGATCCCAGCTAAAACAACCGAACGCCGTACGAAAAACACATTATTCATAACACAAGTTAAAAATACCGATTGACATAGATGAACAAAACTACCGAACGTCCCGGGACTCCCGAAAGCTCTGGAAGCCCAGCGGTGTTCGCGCCGTCGAGTAGCCGTTTTCAGTTCCATGCGCTCGACAACTAAACACCGCTGGGGAACAAAGGATCCAAGATGGCCGACTGCCGCGTGGTCGGTAGCCGAACGACGGCCACCTAGGAGAGCCTCTAATTACCGATTGCAACATGTTTGCAATCGGTTAACAAGCGCCACACGTCCCTTAGTGTTTGGGTTATTGAAAGATGGTTCATTCGGTTCACAAACGGCTCGTTCGGCAGATAGCCAATACAAGTAATACAGCAGGCAGGATACAGCAGCTTACCAACAGTCATATACACAAAATATACCAGCAACCCTTAAAGACATATTGTCCCTGTTTAGTCCAAGTGGCTAGGTTTGCCACAATGCTCCCCCAGAACCAAGCCGGCATACACAGTCTGATCCCAACAGATCGGCTTGGGGATGTCCGGAGGAGCACTCACGGATCACGGTTCCAAGTCTGTTTGCCGGGATAACCCGTCGGCATTGCCATTTTGCTTCCCAGGTCGATAGTGGATTGTAAAGTCAAAAGGCTGCAGCGCCAAACTCCAGCGCAGCAGCCTGGCATTGTCTCCTGACACCCTGTTCAGCCACACCAACGGGTTGTGATCCGTGAGTAATGTAAAGGGTTGTCCGTATAAATAGGGCTGCAACTTTTTGAGGGCCCACACCACAGCCAGGCACTCCTTTTCAATGGCGGCGTAGCTTACTTCCCTGGTTAAAAGTTTTCGGCTTAGATAAGCTATGGGGTGCTCGCCGCCATCTGTTCCAACTTGGCTCAATGCTGCTCCCAATCCAAACATAGAAGCGTCTGTGTGGACGAGAAAACGTTTAGTTGGATCAGGAGCAGAAAGTACAGGTGAGTTAACAAGTGCCGTCTTGAGCTGTTGAAATGCCTGCTCACACTCTGGGGCCCAGACTACTAGCTTAGGGAGATTCTTACGGGTCAAATCAGTGAGGGGTTTGGCAAGGGCACTATAGTTGGCCACAAATTTCCGGTAATACCCGGCGGTCCCTAAGAAGGCGAGCACTTGGGTCTTGGTGCGAGGGGTTGGCCATTGGGCGACTGCCTCTATTTTAGCAGGTTCTGGTTTCTGTTGCCCGCTTCCTACCCTGTGCCCTAGGTACTGCACTTCTGCCATACCTATATGGAATTTGCTGGGTTTTAGTATCAGTCCGGCCTCCTGGATCCGGTCTAGCACGGCTCCTATGTGGGTCAGATGTTCGTGCCAAGAGTAGCTGAATATGGCGATATCATCCAGATACGCGCATGCATACTCCTGGAACCCATCCAATAACCTGTCTACCATCTTCTGGAAGGTAGCGGGGCATTTTTCATCCCGAATGGCATGACCTTAAACTGGTACAGGCCAAACGGGGTGACAAAGGCAGACTTAGGAATAGCGTCTTCTGCTAACGGAATTTGCCAGTACCCCTTGCACAGATCTATTGTGGTAAGGTAGTGGCTCCTGGCCATTTTGTCTAGGAGCTCGTCTATCCGGGGCATGGGATAAGCGTCAGAGGTCGTTTTATCGTTGAGCCGCCGGTAGTCTACGCAGAAACGGGTCGTCCCGTCCTGTTTCGGCACTAGTACTACCGGGGAGGCCCAGGGGCTGTCAGAGTGCTCTATCACTCCCAACTGAAGCATTTCCTCAATTTCTTTGCGCATATTTTCTTTGACTGCTTTGGGTATGCGGTATGGGGTTTGGCGCAGAGGAGTCTGATCTAAGGTTTCTACCTTATGCGTAGCTAACGGGGTATAGCCGGGTAAATTAGAAAACGTGGCTCTCTTTTCCTGGAGTAACCTTTGCACTTGGGTTCGCTCTTGGGGGTTTAACCGCTCTCCTAACTGTACTTCTCCCAAATCTCCACTCTGGCCCTCTTGGTCTAGGAGATTGGGGAGGGGTAGATTGTCAAAATCTTCGGTGGCAGGGGCACAGATTGCGGTCACCTCCTCAGTGCACTCATGGTACAGCTTGAGCATGTTCACATGGAGCATGCGTTTGCCTCCTGTGACGAGACCAATCTCGCCACATTGAATTGGAGAAGCCTGGTTGCTCGCCTGCTGCCTTTGGACTATGGCCCCATTTAAAAGACTTTATTTTCCCCTGCAAAGACAAGAAAGCCGGGTCATTTGGTGCTTTCCCTGTTTGAGCAGTGATACCCCAGATAGCTATGCCATGGAGCCCATTCATATAATGAAAGACTATGGGAAAGACTTTGGCTCCATGGCAATTGAACTGTATGTGTGTGCTCTGAGCGCCATTCAGTAATAATGTGCGCTTAGACCTAAGCTATCTGGGCATATGTTGCATGTCTGTATTTTATGTCATAAATGTAACCTTTTATTTTATTGTATTTTACTGTCTTTTTGCTGCCATGTGTTCAATGGAGTTTTGCCTCTGTCTGTGTATTGTATGTGTTTATTGGTTGTGTTCCAAAACCCTGTGGGTGGTACTAATGTGTAAGAATGTGTAAATAAGCACAATAAACCCACAGCTCTGACTGACCACTGCTTGACCCTCAACACAGAGCTTTGTCTCGTTCTTGGGGGGATTTTTTGAATGCTGTTCCAGTTCGACTGCTAGGAGTGTAAACCTATTCGTATGGTTTTTCCTATTCGGCTGTTTACAGCATTCAGATGGTTTCCTGTTCGGCGGATTGGTGTTCTGCAGGAGCTGTGCCTGCATCTCTGGAAGGGGACGATCGCCTAAACGGTTTTTACCCCTTGTGTGCAAAACGGTCCGTTACACCTCCCGTGCCTGTAACCGGGCCGATCACATAGGTGGTGTCACAGATCTGTTCTACCACCTTGTATGGGCCCTGCGAGGAAGCCTGCAGCTTATCTTTGTGGACTGGTCACAAGATTAGTACTTTTTGCCCCACCTGAAAGCTGCGGTCCCTGGCTCCCTTATCATACCATCTGCGCTGTCGTTGCTGAGCTACCTGGAGATTGTCTTGGACGGTCTGGGTCAGCATCTCCAGGCGTTCTCTGAACTCGAGCACATAGGGTAGGATAGGGTTGCCACTAATGGTCTCGTCTCCCTCCGAGTGTTCCCGTATCAAGTCAAGGGGTCCCCTCACTCTCCTCCCGAATAACAATTCGAACGGAGAGAATCCGGTGGATTCTTGGGGCACCTCCCGATACGCAAACAGCAGGTGGGGTAAGAACCTTTCCCAGTCCTTTTGGGTGTCCATGAACGTACGGATCATTTGCTTAAGTGTTCCGTTAAACCGTTCACAGAGTCCATTGCACTGGGGGTGATATGGAGAGTTCAGGATTTGCTGTACCCCGCATATCCTCCAGAGCTGATGTGTAACTTCAGCGGTAAACTGAGTGCCCCTATCTGAAATAATATTCACATCAGGGCCTCGGCTACCGTTTCAGCGTGTACATTGGTTAACGCCACTGTCTCTGGGTATCTGGTGGCGTAGTCCACCACAGTCAAGACATATTCCTTGCCGGACGGGCTGGGTTTTGCTAGAGGTCCTATAATGTCTACTGCCACCCTACTGAAGGGTTCCTCAATTATAGGGCAGAGACCGTAGCCGGGCTTTGTATCTGTCCCCTCTCTTCCCTACCCTTTGGCAGGTATCACAGGTCTGGCAATATCGCCTAACGTCCTGTGAAATACCTGGCCAAAAGAAGTTTTGGGTCAGCCTGTGCTTAGTACGACTGATGCCTAAGTGCCCAGACAAGGGGAATATCATGAGCGATGTGTAATAACTCTAACCTATATTTCCGAGGCACTATTAGTTGCTTAATGAGTAAAGGTATAGATCCGGACACTACCTTTTCTGCGTGTCGGTACAGTAGTCCTTTGTCCCAGATATACCTTTCCCCTTCTAATCCTGCCTGATCTTTATCAATACGGTCTTTGTACACCTGTAGGGAGGGGTCTAGGGCCACTTCTGACCCAAACTCTAGGGGGTTGGCCCATGTCATGACAGTGGGTATGGGGGGGTCATTGCTTACCTGAGCCTCAGAGTGGTTGGATGGTGCTGTGGTGCGAGCCTGTTGTCAGGTCATAACCGGATAGGCCTCCTGTACTGTGGGCTGCGGAACAAATGCTGAAGTCAGCTCCCCCAAGTCGTTGCCCAAAATCACATCCGCTGGCAAGTCCTGCATCATCCCCACATACACATTCCCGTGCCCCGCTCCCCAATTCAAGTGTACCTTTGCCGTAGGTACTTTGTAAATGGCTCCCCCTGCCACCCGTACTTCAACACAGTCTCCAGTGAGCTTGGGTTTAGGTACCAAATGGCTTTGGACTAAAATTAAGGTAGCCCCAGAGTCACGAAGTCCCTGTACCTTTCTCCCCTCCATGTGCACCTCCTGGCGATGCCCTATCCTGGTGCTCGTCCGCGAGTTTAGCGGCATCTTGAATGGTACATGGTTTACGGTCCCTTACCAAGTTCTGGATCTCGGTGGATAATCTCTGGTAGAATTGTTCCAATAGCAGTAGCTGCATGATATCCTGCTTAGTGGTTGCTTGCGCTGCCTCAATCCACCCGGTGGCTGCTCTTTGTAGGTGATGCGCAAATTCAGCGTGAGAGTCCTTCTCCTGTTTTCTCAGGTCCCGAAATTGTAGTCGGTACGCCTCTGGAGTGATGGCATACCGAGCTAGGATGGCTTGCTTTACTTTATGGTAGTCTCTGCTGTCCTCATCTGGCACATTGTTGCAATCGGTTAACAAGCGCCACACGTCTCTTAGTGTGTGGGCTATTAAAAGATAGTTCATTCGGTTCACGAACAGCCCGCAAAGGCGCTGTTCGTGAAACGAAATGAAATACAGCTATCTTCTTTCGGCAGATAGCCCACACAGGCAATGCAATAATACGGTTTGCATTACATTGCAACCAAGTACATATAACGTTATAAGAACTATACAGGCAACCCTTAAAGCCATAGTCTCTCTGTATTGTCCAAGTGGCTAGTTTTGCCACACCTAGGGTGTCTACTTTCCAAAAATATATGGTTTGCTGGGGGTAAAATACATTGGCCGGCTTTACAAATGTCCCAAATAGGACATGTGCGCAGGTTGCTGAATATGGTGATATCATCCAGATACGCGCATGCATACTCCTGGAACCCATCCAATAACCTGTCTACCATCCTCTGGAAGGTAGCTGGGGCATTTTTCATCCCGAGTTGCATGACCTTAAACTGGTATAGGCCAAACGGGGTGACAAAGGCAGACTTGGGAATAGCGTCTTCTGCTAACGGAATTTGCCAGTACCCCTTGCACAGATCTATCGTAGTACCCCTGGCCATTTTGTCTAGGAGCTTGTCTATCTGGGGCATGGGATAAGCGTCTGAGGTTGTTTTATCGTTGAGCCGCCGGTAGTCTACACAGAAACGGGTCGTCCCGTCCCTTTTCGGCACTAGTACTACCGGGGAGGCCCAGGGGCTGTCGGAGTGCTCTATCACTCCCAACTGAAGCATTTCCTCAATTTCCTTGCGCATATTTTCTTTGACTGCTTCGGGTATGCGATATGGAGTTTGGTGAAGAGGAGTCTGATTTAAGGTTTCTACCTAGTGCGTAGCTAACGGGGTATAGTTGGGTAAATTAGAAAACGTGTCTCTCTTTTCCTGGAGTAACCTTTGCACTTGGGTTCGCTCTTGGGGGTTTAATCGCTCTCCTAACTGTACTTCTCCCAAATCTCTGCTCTGGCCCTTTTGGTCTAGGAGATCGGGGAGGGGTAGATTGTCAAAATCTTCGGTGGCAGGGGCACATATTGCAGTCACTTCCTCAGTGCGCTCGTGGTATGGCTTGAGCATGTTCACATGTAGCATGCATTTGCCTCCCGCTCCTGTGACCGGGCCGATCACATAGGTGGTGTCACAGATCTGTTCAACCACCTTGTATGGGCCCTGCCAGGAAGCCTGCAGCTTATCTTTGGTCATAAGATTAGTACTTTTTGCCCCACCTGAAAGCTGCAGTCCCTGGCTCCCTTATCATAACATCTGCGCTGTTGTTGCTGAGCTACCTGGAGATTGTCTTGGACGGTCTGGGTCAGCATCTCCAGGCGTTCTCTGAA